TGACAGACAACCTGGGGAAGCTTTCCCATATCCTCAAAACTGATAACTTTGCTCTGGTGGTTCACAATCAAACGCAATGTGAGAAAATCCATTTCCTAAATAGTGTTTATACAGAACATTTATATGCAGATAATTTTTATAATGAGCTGTTTATTGTGTGGTTGATAAATGTCATTCACAAAGCTTCATTTTGGTTATGACACCCAAAGACACTGATTTACAATCACACATTTACATTCTCTTGGATCTTGTTCACATATGGCTCTTTCTTTCCATCATTGAGCTAAAACCTGTATTTGTGGACGACATGGGAAACTTTGTTCATGAGCCTGTGCAGTAAACAAACCACAACAGTCTTCTGTGTTTAACAGCAGTTTTGTGTCTCTGTGCAGACAGGGTTGATGGGTCGGCCCTCCAGAGGGAGATTTTATTTGCCGTCGTGACAGTGATTGACCTTCTCTCTTACATCACCACACACGAGGGGCAGGACTGCAACCATCAAAGTCAGGCGGTGTAACCCAGTGACTGTGTCCTGTTTAAGGTTGAGGTTTATTTCCTGTTCATTGAGAGACAGCAAACGATCACCTGTAGTGTCACTGAAATAATCATAATAATAATGATGATGATAAGAATAATAGAGCTCCAGAGAGGACAGAGAAGTTGTAAAGCACTATTCATAGCTATTTTTGTTCTTTTTTTTAACACTGTGCATCTTGTAATAAGTGAAAAATCTCCAGTTAAAGGGCAACTTAGTTTTTTCTGGAGGGACGTTACCATCATCTTTCTGGAACTGACTCTTTTCTCTTACAATACAGTAAAATATTTCTATTCTTTGCATTTTATTTCTGCCACACATAATGTCTTTTTAAGTGTGGTGCCTCTGTGTTTAGTCTTTTTTCTTTTTTGTACATGTTTTTATCAATTTGTTTTATTTGCTCCCTGTAAGTCACTTAGCATTAGCCAAGAAGTTAGTTTCTACATTTAAAAACTAGCAAACCAACATAACCTAAATTTGACTAAGAGAAAACTACGTTGATAAAATAGTTTATTATGTTGTATAAATGAATATAGATACAATTATTTCCAGAAGACAGTTTGATATAAACAGAGGCATATTTTGTTTCTTCTGTGTCCCTCACAATGCAAAGCATATAACATCATGACAATGTTATTGGTCAGTTACAATGTTGATCATGGACCAATATTATGATGATGATGCAGAAACAGCACCAATAGGAGACATCAGATGTTGTTGGTGTTGTGCCAAAAAAGCCAAACAATGATTTCTGCTGTTTTTGTGTGCTTTTTATGTCTAATAGTTACTTACATTGTAATTAGACTGTAGTGAACAAGGTTTATGATGAGGTTATATAGAAAATAAAGAAATAACCTGTTTTGCAAACATTTTTATGACTCTGCCTTATTGGTCTCTCAGTGTGTTCACAGAATTTGGATTTTTTCTTATTATTTCAGCTGCCCTCATGGCCAGATCACTCTTGAATAAAAACATTTTTAATGTTGGTGAGATATTAAAATTAAAAGGAAATATAACAGTGAATACACAAAAATTTCATTGCTAACAGGAGTGTTATCGCTGAGTCAAAATGACTTGATATTATATGTTTGGCATATCTTAGATGCCAGCAATCAATTATAACTTTAAATTCCAACAATCATTTTTATGGCAAATACTGGAAATCAGTTTTTGACACACTACCAGCACAAAGGTGAGTGGCTTGTGTCTTTCTGCAGACAGGGAGTGCAAATGGTATGTTTTAATCTGATTCAATTTATCTTGAATTTCTAAACAGCGGAGGAAGATATTTTCGTTCATGTGTATGGAGGTGGGCATCACTCCATGCCTTTCTGTAAATGTTATTGCACACCACTCCTTTAACTGCAGTTAGTAGGAGTTCAGCATTTCAGTACAAAGTTAGAGAAACATGTTTATTCCTGTTTTTATCTCCAGGCTGCGGTTATGCTGAAACTAGGACTCACCTGTGTGCTATCAGTGGAAAGCAGAGTTTACTTGTTATTACAGTGTAGCCAACTAGAAGCAGCCCTCTGTGTGTCTTATTTTACATTCTGATTTAGAACTCCAGATCTTAGGTTAATTTGTGTACTATTGAAGTTTGGATTCCCCTGGGGCATATACTGAAATTCTATTGGAGGGAGGAAACAAGTCCCGCCCACTCTGTTTGAGCTGGAATGCAACAACACAGGAGTGAAAAAAAAAGTGATGGTGGTGCCAGCTTGATAATGTCCAACTACTTTCTCATGGTCTTGGTGAGTAAATGTTTTAGTAAGTTTTTAGCTAAGCTGATTTAGCTAACTGTATCAGCCAGCGGAGAGTTGGGTGTGGTTTCCTCACCTGGGTCACCCTTAAAATGCGGAAGTACATCTGTGCTGTGTATTTTTATTTTATACTTTTATGTTGTTGTTTTTTTAAGTGTTCAGTGTTTTCAGTAGTGCAGTATATGATTTAATTCACAAAATAAAGTATGTAACCATATTCCATGGTTTACAAAGTGAATGAAATTGTCATTATATTTATTCTGAAGATTAAGCAGAAATGTTGGGTCCCTATAGCCACAGATGACTGTAACATTGTGACTGTATATATTAATGGTTTTATTATTATGCGGGCTGGGTGTTCCTGGAAGTCTTTTGAAACTGGAGTCGGAATATGTATTTCTTCTTTAGGCTGTGTGTCAGGCAGGACTAAGATCCTAAACGTAGGACTCAGGAACAAGCCTACGATGCAAGAGAGACAAAGGGCAAGGATAATATATATATACATAGAGGGTAATGAGGGAACAGACACACAAGCCTGACACAGACAGAAGACATGAACATGAAGGGAAGAGAGAAGGAGCAGAGGAAAAATGAAATAAACAAACCTAGCAACTCAAGCAAATAGGAAACAAAAGGCACAGAACACAGGATCATATCAAGCACACGGAAAGTAAGCATAACCCCACAACCAGAAAGCTGAAAAACAGCACAGAATAAAGGATCATACTACTACTGCGGTCTGGCCTGGGCCTGTCTGTGTGAAGTTTGTGTGGCCAGACTGTGTCTGTGTGGGTTTCCTTCCACTGATTAGACGTGCTTGCTAGGATAATTGATGCTTCTAAATCGTAGGTGGGGGTGTGATAGTGTGCGGTTGTCTTTTTCTCTGTGTTGGCCACGTAATGGACCAGCGACCTGTGTCGGCCAGTGGCAGCCAAAAAAATGTGTGGGTGGACACAGAACAAGCAACAAATTCTTAAAATTATGTCTGGAGGACATCAATCAAACTGTGTCATGCAAATTGGCTTTAAATTAATTTAGAGTTAGATTAAATAATGTGTAGCTTATTTATTGAGTTCTGTGTGGAGTTTGCATGTTCTCACTGTGTTTGTGTGGGTTCTCTCCAGGTACTCCAGTTTCCTCCCACAGTCCAAAGACATGCAATTAGTGTGGATAAGTTAACTGGAAACTCTAAGTTGCCCGCAGATGTGAATGTGAGTGTGAATGGTTGTCTGTGTCTATGTGTTAGCCCTGCGACAGGCTGGCGACCTGTGCGTGTACCCTGCCTCTCACCCTAAGACAGCTGGGATAGGTTAACGTGCAGCTTTCTTCTGATACAAGTCATTGATGAATGAGTCAAATTAAGTGGACACTAAAACAAAAGGTCTTGCCAACTTGTCAGTAACTTTTGAAAGCTTGGTGTAAATGTGGTGCAATATGTGTCCCATCTTGCTGCAGATGAACCATGCCCACTGATTTTGGTACGAAATCCTTGGAAGAAGTTCCTTCTCCTTGCACATCTGCAGCTAACCCAACAAATGCAGAAGTCACTTGTGCTAAAGCATCTTCAAGTGTGTATTAGGCTACAGCAGCTGTGAACAGTGGTGACAGGTTACCTGCTGATGGTGAAGATAAGGATGAATCATTCACTGAGACTCAGCTGGAGAACACAGACGAGACTCCTGATGAGACGAAGTGGATCCGTCCTGATTTGCCCAGGAGATGTACTTGGAAGCTGGGCGCGCCCATGTCAGAGTCGCCTTATAGCCACTCAGCACGGTAAGAGTCTGGAGAAATAAAGAGGTCACTGTGTAGAGGAGAGAATGCTCTGAGCTTAAGCACAGTCTTTAAATAATGAAACTCCATTACAGCTGTAAAAGAATGTTGATTCACAAACAGATGTCACACATACACATATGGGCAAACATATAAACAGTCAATCACACAGCACCAACTCAATGCATGTAGAGATGATCAAGATGACCTGCTGAAGTTCAAACTTAGCACCAGAATGAAGAACGGTGACTTAATTGACTCAGAACTATCAGAAACTGCTGATCTACTCAGATTTTCTCACACAACCATCTCTGTGCTTTACTGAAAACGGTCAAACAAAGACAAAAATGTCCAGTTCTCTGGGGGAAAATGCCTTGTTGATGACAGAAGTTAGGGAGAAAAGACTTGTTACAACTAAGTTATCCAGAGGAGCATCGCTGAATGCACAACATATCAAACCTAAAACAGATCGGCTACAGCAGCAGGACACACTGGATGCCTCTCCTGTCAGCTAAAAACCAGAAACTGAGGCTACAGTTCACATGGACAACTGGACAATAGAAGGTTGGAAAAACTTCACCTGATCTGAATTTGGCATAATCAACATAAAAGCATGGATCCATCCTGCCTTGTGTCAGTGGTGCAGACTGCTGGTGGTATAATAATTTAGGGGGCTCACTTTGGGTTCCTTAGTATAAACTGAGCATCATTTAAACCCCACAGCCTCCCTGAGTACTGTTACTGACCATGTCCATCACTTTATGACCACAGTGTACCCATCTTCTGATGCCTGCTTCTAGCAGGATAGGACACCGTGCTGCAACGCTCAAATCAACTCAAACTGGTTTCTTGAACATGACGATGAGTCCACTCCACTCAAATGGCCTCCAGTCACCAGATCTCAATCCAGTGGAGCATCTTTGGGATTTGGTGGAACGTCAGGCACCTGGTCTGCAGCATCAAATGGGTCATGTCACCCATTTGATGCCATAAAGAATTAAGGCATTTCTGAAAGAAAAAAGGGCATTAAACCCAATGATAAAAAGGTGTACCTAACAAATTGGCCAGTTAGAGTATGTTGTAGTGATACTTCTGATATTTCTGGTATTTTGTAATTAAATTCTCACGAGATATAATGAACATGACATCGTGTATGGTATCTCCAAGATGGTAATGACTGTTAATTGTGTGTTATGTCTTACATTACAGCACCAAGCCTTCTGGCATCCTCTCCAGCATCCTTGAGAAAATTGGACACACACCTCTGGTTCGCTTGAACAAAATCCCCAAAGAGTTTGGGCTTAAGTGTGATATCTGTGAGTATGAATGTAAAATGTGACACACCCACACATGCCTGGATATCAGTACAAGCAGAATCCATAAGCTTCTCTGCACACAATCACTTTGACTATTTTTACTTTCAGTTTCTGCAAAATCTTCCAAATAAACATTAGAATGATTATTATGCATTTCATGCAGATTCATTATGTGAATGAATCTGCATGAAACTTTGCTTGTTTAAATGGGAGAAGTAAACAGCAGGGCCTTGAATGACTGTGGCACAGCCGTAGAACAGCAAAATAGCTGAGAAGGGAGCGTTGAAGTATCATGTTTCCTACTGTGAGTCTGTTGTCGTTTTGTATGAGGAGGCAGCTCGTTCCCTTGATGGAGAGATGAGACTGAAAGACTTTCTTTCTCTGTTGGATGAAAGAACAAAAACACCTGTAAATTAAATTGAGCTGGAAAGCTGAAAACTGTTAAGGTTTTCCCGCCTTATTCTTCATTATTTCACACTGGCAGCCCATCTCAAAATCCAGGTTCTTTGATCTTTTCAAACCTGCGTTGATGATCCGAACGCAATGTGCCAAACACATTTAGCTTTTCCAAGATGAGCAGCATAAATTCTCTATAGGCTCCTCTTGTTCATGCATTTCTTTTATCTGTTTATTTATTCATTTCTGTTAGTTTTATTTCAGTTTTTACACATTATCTGTGTAGTATGACAGTATTCTTTTTAACGGGTGACTGTGTTTAGTGGCCAAGTGTGAGTTCTTCAATGCAGGAGGCAGTGTGAAAGACAGGATCGCCCTGTGCATGGTGGAGGACGCCGAGAGAGCCGGGGTCCTTAAACCAGGAGACACCATCATCGAGCCCACCTCTGGAAACACGGGTACATGAGTGTGAATGAACAAATGGGTTGAAGGCTCAGTGTTTGATACGGTTTAACATAAACCGAACTGAAGTGCAGTATTGTAGCTCCATAATGAAGGGAAACGGTCATTTATATAAATTTTGCTCTTTGTGCAGGTATTGGCCTCGCCCTCATAGCTGCAGTAAAAGGCTACCATTGCATCATTGTGATGCCTGAGAAGATGAGCATGGAGAAGGTAAGTAGCTCTGTTTCTTCTTCTTCTTCTTTTCAATGTGAGGAATTTATTGAAGTCTCATCCTCTCCTGTGTCCTAGGTGCATGTCCTGCAAGCTCTC